GTGTGTGTGTGTGTGTGTGTGTGTGTGTGTGTGTGTGTGTGTGTGTGAGTGTGTGTGTGTGTGTGTGAGTGAGTGAGTGAGTGAGTGTGTGTGTGAGTGAGAGAGAGAGAGAGAGGATGCTCAGGTCAGCAGTTCTAGAGGAGAAAAAGGACACTGCCCCTCATCTCATACTTTCTCATGTATTATGTATGCCTGGGATGTCCGGTCGTGAGTTTGGCTGTGTGTGTGTGTATGCTGCTTGTAGCCTCGGAAGTGCACACCCGTATCACTGCCGCCCTTCAGCCCTGAGGGATCCACGAACGAGACGTTCAAGGTCTTATCCGCCACAGGAAATCGGTGCCAAGCCGGTCTCTTAATGAGGACTGATGAGACGAGGAGTTTGGTCGTGAATATAATCGACGGCCTTCACCTCTGTTGACCCGAGAGTGTTTGAGGAAGTCAGGGACGTTCCGTAGTCGCTTGCATTCTTGAGCTTGTGGTGAGGTCAGAAGTCATTTCCGCACCTGTCTCGGGCCTTTTCAGCGTTTTGTTTCCTCTTAAATGTGATGTCAAGATCCTCATGGCGTTCACGGAATATTTAAATTCTGGGTTAGACGGAAGCGCGTGAGGACGCTTCGCTCGTAGCTTTTCCATTGGAGGTCACGACCCTCAAGTTCCTTACTGCCACCGGTCTGAAGTTCAGGCTTGTTTAAGCAGAGGCCTCGTCTTCACCGCTTCCGAACGCACCTCTGGTGCAATGTTTTGGTTGTACTGGGACACCCCCCCACACACACACACACACACACACACAGAAAAAAGAAAATCACACTCCTATATGTATACCAACATTGAATCAGCATGACACCCCTTGATAATCTTGGCAGGGTGCAGATTGGTTGTGCCATATGCGCACAGACTCGTGCATTATGCATGAGGGGCTAAAAATGACTCCCCACCTCGATGCAGACATTTATGTGTTTCCGTGCCCGTTTAAATTTGCGTACAGATGTCTGGCCGCCCACGTGACTCATTCACGGCTGACATGGATGTGGGGACGTTGATTGTCGATCTTTTTTCCTCTCCAGACATAAGCGTTGCCACGAGGCGGCTCCCTCGTCACGCACCGGCAGCTCACATGTGGAGCCGGAGCAGTTATATTGCTCTATTTTGAGATTTTTAATCACACGATTTCCACATTTACATAAGTGCTAATAAGGTGCTGCTGCTTCTCTCTGCGTGGACTCATTTGACTGCAAAGCTTCACCCGTCCTTAGAAACTATAGGAGGAAGTATTTCAACAGTGTAAATCATGATCTTTGTATCTTCAAGCTCTTCAAAACTGATGTTGATATTTTTTTTCTTCTTTTTTTTGTCTTTGTGCTCAGTGTTGGAGCTATTTATTTGATATTAGTATTTTGTTTTTGTTATTTGATTGATGTGCGACAAGCAGTTTAGAAGAAGTGTTCAAAATGTCTAACGTTCAGGCGAAGGATGTTGAAACGCCTTCAGCAAAAATAAACATTAAAATTACTTCTAAAGGCTTGGAGTTCTACATGGAAATGTACCAGCAAAAGAGGAGTGCAAAATGTAAACAAGCTAAAGGGTGTATGAGAAACATCAGTGCCTTCATGACATCAAATGAATATGTAAATTCAGTGAATGCTGAGCTTTCTATGTTCATCAAGTGTTACCAAGATGCAAATGACATGCATGCATCTTTTGTGAACTTACCTTTACCTCAAGATGAAGTGACAAGGCAAAATCAGTACTTCAAAGAAAAAATGACAATGTTCTGCGACTTCACTGAAAAGGTAAAAAGCTGTCTGTCTGAAATGGGTCACCCATATGTGCAGCCAAATGAAGACTCGACGACCAAAGTGTTGCAGATGAGATAAACCCTGAAGATAGTGCTTCTAACGTGTCAAGTGTAAAGGTAAGTTCACAAAAGATGCATGCATGTCATCTGCGTCTTGGTAACACGTCACTGGATGTGGATCTTGATGTGATTTCTGCAGATGACCCAGAGGTCAAAAGGGACTTAATGGTAAATGCTATCATCAAGGATTTGGAAAATACCACCAACCACCTGATCTATTATTTTTCATCTTGGATTAGACTAAAAACATCTGTGGCTTGGTTTCTGAAGGTCAAGGAACTTCTCCTGTTATTGGGACGGAAGAGAAAGGAGTTTTGTGCTTCTGCAGGCCTCAGAAAGGACAATCTGAAGAATCAGGAGCATAAAGTGGAAAGAAAAGTTCAAAGCTTTAACACACTCAAAGGACAAAGCCTAACACATGAAGATCTTGCTAAGGCAGAGCAGTCAATCATTCAATATGTACAACGACACAAGTTCAAAGCTGAAATTGCCTCACTGAAAGGATGCTTTAAAAACGTCCCCAAAGAAAGTCCACTGTAAAAACTGGACCCAGTAATGGATGATGAAATCCTCAGAGTTGGTGGTCGGTTGAGTAAAGCAGCACTGCCAGCAGAATCCAAACATCCAGTCATTTTGTCCAAAAGACCTGTATGTATCCACGCTGATTTTTCACCATATCCATCATCAGCTGAGACATGCAGGAAGAAATCACATGCTGTCAAGGTCACGGCAAAAGTACTGGATCATTAATGCAAACTCTGCTGCCAGGAAAGTCATATCTGACTGTTGTTTGTAGACGCAACAGAGGAAAGCTTGGTGAACTATTTTGGTCCCATCAATGTTAAAAGAGGAAGAAGTCTTCTTCAGAGATATGGAGTGCTTTTCACCTGTCTTACCAGTCGTGCTGTGCACTTGGAAGTGGCATATACACTGGACACAGACTCCTGTATAAATGCAGTACGAAGGTTCATCTGTAGACAAGGTGCAGTCTCCACTATCAGGTCTGATAATGGCACAAACATTGTTGGAGCCAACCGGGAGCTGAAGGAAAGTCTGGCTGTTCTGAATCATGGCAAAATTCAAAGGGCTTTGGTCCAGGACTTCAACACACCAGCAGCTTCCCATCAAGGCGGCATTTGGGAGCGCCTGATTCGTTCAGTGAAAGGTGTTCTCACCTCAGTTTTTCAACAGCAAATTCTGGACGATGAAGGGCTCCAGACCATTTTCTGTGAGGTTGAAGCAATTCTAAATGACAGACCCATCACAAAAGTCTCAGATGACCCAGATGACCTCGAAGCTCTCACACCAAACCACATTCTAATGTTAAAGGGCAAACCAATCATGCCACCATGACTTATTTGATGAAAGTGATTTATACATCAGGAAAAGGTGGATGCAAATACAGTACATGGCTGAACTCTTCTGGAAGAGATGGATCTCTGAGTACCTACCCTATGATGCAAGAGAGACAAACATGGACAAGGCCAAGAAGAAGCCTCACTATTGGAGACATTGTCCTTGTTGCGGACTCCACAGCTCCAAGAGGATCTTGGATGATGGGGAAAGTTTTGGATGCAAGACCAGATACAAAGGGGCTGGTGCGCTCTGTGCGACTTTAAACCAGGACCAGCGTTCTGGAGAGGCCGGTGATGAAGCTCTGTCTGCTGTTGGAAGCGGCAGTCTAGCATCATGGACAGATGTCTTCTCCACTTCTATCTTTCCCTACCTCTACTTCTCTCTCAATTATTTTTTGTTGTAGGCGTGTCAAGAAGAAGATGGACTTTAGGTTAATGCATGGCACATAAGATATATCATGTCATGTTTATGTTGTAGGAATAGCTCGTTTGAGAATA